AAATGATGTTCAGATTCTCGCTTTAAAAGTATAATGATAACCGAAGAAGTCCAATCTCAAAGCTCCTGCTAACAGTCGACCTAAAAACCATCACCTCAAGTCACACAACAAAACCATGACTGAACTTGGCAAGGCACTACTAGGAAACATGAAAACTACCCCGAGAGGCACCAAACCTGAAAGAAGTTTCCCCGGGACAATTCCTACACGAAAATTTTTTGGGTGCCACGGGTACGACCACGTCGCTACCAATCGCCTCACCTCCCGTGTTATCTCATTTACTGAAGATGGCATCGTTGAGGAAGTCGAACAAGTTGAGGAAGCCCAATCTGAAGATGATTCAGAAAAAGCATTGCCCCTCACCAGAGACGAAGACAAATTATTGGTCATATGAAGGGTCCTCCAGTCCGAACTCGAAAAAGAACTTTTATGGCTACGACATAACATCTTTTGTACTGCATGCACAGTCAAATGCAAATTCTGTAGTTTAATCATCAATGATGGTAGTTGTGAAAGCGTCGTCTCCACCATGCTAGTCTAGAAGCTAGGTTTAGCCACAAAAAAAACACCTACTCTTTCACATAGCTTAAAAAGAGGAATGAGTTTCACATTGATCAATAATGCTTATTCAAATTCTCTATCGGCAAAAAAACTACAAGAGCAAGTGTGGTGTGATGTAGTCATAATAGACGCATGTCACATTCTTCTCGAGAGGCTATGACAATTCGAAAATCATAGCACGATGGCTTCAAAAATACATATGCACATTCAAGAGGGATGGAAAACACATCATGTTATTGCCTATAAAAGATGTGCAAGCCTCGACCAACACAAAAGACATGTTAATCTCACGAGCCACCTTCAATGCCCCGATCGCATTAGCTCTGTTCCTCCTAGAAGGTACCAATCAAGATGATGAGATACCCACACAACTTAAACTGCTCCTGCATGATTTCCAAATTGTCAGGACCGACTCCCAGATGGATTACCTCAACTACGGGACATCCAACATACCATTGACCTCATACCAGGGTCGAGTTTGTCAAATAGTCTCGCCTACCGACTACGACCCGCGTGTATGAGGAAATCCAACGTCAGGCACAAGATCTTATTAAGAGGGGATTAGTACGCGAAAGCACCAATCTGTGTGATGTACCCGCCTTCATCATACCCAAGAAAGATGACTCTTGACAGATGTGCATTGACAGTCGTGCGATCAATAAAATTACAATCAAATATCGCTTTCCCATACCACGCCTCGATGATCTCTTGGATCAATTGTGCGACACCATCGTTTTCTCCAAAATTTGACCTACGCAGTGGTTATCACCAGATTAGAATGCGACTAGGAGACGAATAGAAACCCACTTTCAAGACATGAGATGACCTTTATGAATGGACATTCATGCCTTTTGGCCTATCCAACACACCCAACACCTTCATGTGCCTACTGAATCAAGTCTTTCAGGTTCATAGTGGGTGATTCGTGGTGGTCTACTTCGATATTATTCCGGTTTATTGTAAATCCAAAGAAGACCCTCATCTGCACTTTCGGGCAGTATTCGGGGTCTTACGATCCAAACAAATATATGCCCACCCTAAGAAATGTCACTTCCTCACAAACCAACTATATTTTTTGGGCTACATTATGTCTAACACGGGGATGCAAATGGACCCCACAAAGATCAAAGCAAGCATAAGCTAGACCGCGTCACAAGCTTTCATGGAGCTTCGACAATTTTTGGGGCTAGCTTCTTTTACCGAAGATTTGTTCGCAACTTCAGCACCATCACCGCCCCCTCATAGTGCTGTTGAAACATAAAAAATTCACATGGACGGTCACAACCCGGTCCAACTTTGAAATATTGAAGGAAAATCTAACTCAAGCCCCCAATTCTTGCCTTACCCGAGGTTGAGTGTGACACTTCCGGTGTAGGTATTGACACTGCAGGAAGTCATGGTGGTCATTTCATTGCCTATTTCAGTGAAAAACTAAACGAGGCTCGATGAAAATACTTCAACAACGATCAAGAATTTTATGCCATTGTTAGGGTTTTAGAACACTAGACTCACTACCTACTCACATTCGAGTTCACCCTCTTCACAGATCATAAAACTCTAAAATTTTTAAACAGTTAAAATAAATTCAAAGGGCGCCACACTGTCTGGTTAGAATTTTTAGCGTCATTCCATTTCGTACTAAAACACTAAGTCAGGAACCAGAAAAACGTCGTCAACGCTACAACCATCTCCACCTTCTGATCACATCCTTGCAAGCGCACACCGTTGGCTTTAAAGTTATAAAAGACCTATATAAGATTGATGAAGACTTTTAGGAAATCTGGAAACAGTGTCAGGAGAAACCTCATGGGTAGTTCTACTAAACAGACAACTACTTCCGTCACAACAAATTTTGCATTTCTGATGGTCACTACACGAAGCTGTCATCCAAGAGAACCACAGTAGCGGATTAGCCGGCCATTTTGGCACAGATAAAACTCTCACACTCGTAAAAGAACATTTTTTTGGCTCCGACTAACACGAGATATTGAGTGACACGTTCGATAATGTAGGATTTGTCATATCGTCAAAATTCATAGACAAAACACATGATTGTACAGAGCTTTACCTGTCTCTTAGGCGCCTTGGGTCGATGTCAGCGTGAACTTTGTCGTAGGACTACCACACACACAAGAAATAAGGACTCTATTATGGTCGTAGTTGACCGATTCTCAAAGATGGCGCATTTTGTCGCTTTGGACGTTAGATGCGTCTCATATCGCTGACCTGTATTTCCGCGAGATCGTTCTGCTTCACGACATTCCCTGGACCATTACTTCCGACCGGGATGTTAAATTCTTATGCCACTTATGGAACATCTTGAGCAAATTAGGCACAAAACTCCAATTTAGTTTTTCAGCACATTCTTAGACAAATGGCCAGACCAAAGTAGTTAATAGGAGCATTGAGAATCTTCTTAGCTGCTTCGTAGGGAAAAATATTAAATAATGGGATGACATTCTAGCTCAAATCGAATTTGTCCATAATAGTTCAACAAGTCAAACCACAGGCCATATTCCATTCGAAATTGTTTATAAATGTAACCCGATCACATCCCTTGAGCTGGTCCCACTCCTAGCCCCCGTAGATCAGCGAGGATGCTACATAACGTGTTTCCCAAATGCTACAACTCCACGAGGATGTTGGGAAACCAATTTCAAAGCAAAACCACAAATATCAAGTCCAAGCAAATAAGTTCAAGAAAAAAGTGAAATTTCAAGAAGGCGACCTCGATGGATACAAATAAAAAAAGAATGCTTTCCTTTAGGAGCATATTAGGCGATCTCGATGGATACGACTCGAAAAAGAATGCTTTCCTTTAGGAGCATATTGACCTTTCCGCGTTTTAAAAAAAATTTGAACAACACACATATAAAATTAATCTGCCTGGAGACTCTAAAATTTCAACAACATTCAATGCCGTTGATCTCACTCCTTACTACGAAGACCCAGAAGCTTCGACAAATGATGTCAAAGCTCGCCTAACCTCAAGGGATTGACGCGGGGGCCATTCGCTCGCGCCCGTCGTCCGGGCGTGATAAAAGACCGGTCCAACTCTATTAAAAGCACATTGCAATCACCACCCCTCCTCTGCCGCGATCTCTTCTCTCGTGACCTTTGCAATGCCTTTTCCTCCAAGTCGTTGCAGCCCCACCTCTTCATTTCCTTCCACTCCTCCCTTTCCTTTCTCAGATCTTACTGTTGCTAGCAACCAACCTTTTCTTTATTTATGTGTTCTTGCTTAAGCCCTAAAAAATGGTTGATTTTTTTATTTATTTCAGGTATTGTTCCTAGTGTTCTCCATCTTGTGAGGGCTAGATTCTTCGACGACGTGGTGCTATGGCTGTATCCCGCCAAGGAGTTGTGTATCCCCGCTTTGTCTCCTCCTCCCGACATCACTCTCTACAACTGTCATCCTCTCTCACTCTAGTACCCCACCGCAGACCGCAGGAGCCCCCATTTTCTCCCAGCTCCTTTCCGAGCCTCGTCTTTGCACTTCCCATGGCCCTTTGTAGCCCCTTCAGCTTCAGGTCCACCCCTCTTCAAGCGTTGCCTCCCCTTGCTATGCCTTCCCCGTCAGCCTCAACACCTCCAGGACCTCCCAACACCCCTTTCCAGCCAGCAACAATATCTGCAGCCCACGCCCGGCCCTCCTCCTGCCAGCTATAGTTCCTGCAACCCCCCTCCAGGCACTCCAACAGTGCTCACCCCAACATCTTCCTAGTTGCCAACAACACCTCCCCAGCCTTCCGACGGAACCATAGCCTCCATCAGACCCAAATCAGGACTGTTTCAGCTCTTTGTAGTACTTATTTTACTATTTGTGGAGTCGTTGTTTCTTGTATTATCATTCACAAGTTGTGTTGTTTTCATTCACGATTCCATGTTGTACTTTCCTTCGAAATCATCAATAAAATTGTGTCGTTTTGAGTCATGGTTTGGAGAAATTGTATCGTTTTGAGTCCTGGTTTGGGTTATCTCCAGCATCAGTGCCTAATATACAATCCAACCTTCTTTTGAAACCCTTCATAGCTCTCTCTCAAATAAAAAAGAAGAAAACAACATAAATAATGCAGAGAGTTCTGAGGAGGCGTCGGAATTTTCGTAGCCCGCATAAACCTTTATACAGAAATTTTACGAAGCTCTCCATTGAGAACAATAGAAATGCAGATTATTAGGCTATATCAGATTGGTACTATTTTTCTTTTTTATTTTCTTAATCCTTGTTAAATTGCTTCTGCTGTTCTTTAATTTTTTTTGGTTGCAGCTTAGAGTATGGCTGATATCCTTGAGTTTCATTATAAGATAACCTGCTAAAATTTTTATCAACATTTATTTTTTATGTTTCACTGTGAGGTCTTGTACTTTTTGCGCATACATAAAATTTTTTTTGGTACATCTTGCTGATCCTTTTTGTGTTAATATTTCATTACTACTAGGTATACAACTTGGATATACTGTGGTATTTGGATGGTATGCATCTTTTCTATTTCTTCGAACAGGTTTGTGTACTAAGTCTCTCTCCTTCCAATGGACTTGAAAAGTTTCAGAAATACCCATTTTTAAGATTGTGTATTATAGAATTTGTTATGTTGATATCTATGATTTACGAAGCATGGATCACTTTTCTAATTCACGCCATTGGCGTCTTTGTTGTGCTACATGTAGGTAATCTAATATCTGCGGTTGTTGCTCATATAGTTTGTAACGTGATGGGCTTGCCAATAGTGTTGTCTCCTAGGACCAGAGGTTAGTTACTAATTTAAACTGTGACTGCTAATTCAAATTGCTGGGTAGATTTGCCAATTATCTATTATTTTCTGTTACCTTTACTAACATGATATGCTCCAACAAGCTGATTTCATAATTGATGAGTGGTGCTTGCTGGCTATGCTTCACTGTTCTGCATCTTCATCTACTTCAAATCTTATATTCATAGATTTGTTGATGTTGATCTTATAACTCTGAAGTCTACTTATATTCTACTAAATTACAAATGATTTATTAAAGATGGGCAAATACTGGACCAATTATCGAACTACTATTCATGATCTTGCAAAATGATGGGCAGCTTCTACGTGATAATTTTATCATATCTTCATATATTAGTCTGCGATGTAACTGTATACGACCTGCTAATAATTCCTTGTGCTAATAAGTACATGTGTTGGGTTGGGTCAGCTGGGACATTACTGCTTTCACAAGCCTAGCGACTTTTATTGTGCGCGCAATTGCAAAATTGGTTACCTGTCATATGTTATATTAAGCTATGATACTAATGTGGTTGAAGAAGAGAACAAAGAACACCTTTAGACAAACCCAATCTTGTTACATTAAGTCATCACACAAGTAAGATTTTGTTTCCTTTATTTTTCCGCCTTTCCAACATGTAAGTTGGAGCTCTTACTGATTTTGAAATTCTTCCTCCAATTTATAATTAATTCTTACCCTCTAGATGGTAATTAAGATCACTCTGATTGAAGAAGCAAGAAAAGAATGCACCGCATTGGTTGAGAGCTCTTCTATTGTTTCTGCACATGATGCCATTCAAGGGAGGAGTGCAAAACTACTGCAAAAGAAGTGTTGTAGATACTATTGCTTCTCATAATTGCGTTAACAAAATTACTTGAGGGGAACAATTGTTGTAGATCGTTTATAAACTCCTTTAATCAATAAAGAAAGGATGATAACATTTTATCTCTCATGGATCAGCATTCAACGAGAATATTTTGAGAAGGGGGAGGTTCATAAGGTTTCTTTTGAAATACTTTTTGAATCCTTTATGACCTAACTAGGGTGACAGCTTGTGCAACAAACAACCTCATTGATCGACTTTTAGGGGCGACGGGGAAAATCTTATGGAAGCTCCACAAATTTTCTTCTTTAATTATTGCTCCACTGTAATGCCTTTTGGAAACCATGTACATAATATCAAGATGATGCAATGGTATCCTATCACATTTGGGATTGTATTTGTGCTTGCTTAAGGCTTGGGCTGACATCTTAAAGACCCTATACAACATACCAAGAATTGATGGACTTGCAAGTAAGAAGGTCATGGGGGTCGTTTTGAAAGAAACTTGGGATTGTTTTTATGTTAATGGAATTGTGGAACAATGTAGGGGTTCCTCTTGCATCATAATCTATGGCATGCTAATCTTTCATCCATTTTTAACATTTAAGACTTTAATAAAGTTAAAATAAATGGAAGTTTATACCTTTTCCCTAATGGCACCATGTGGATCTCTCGGCAGTTATGGGTTTCTGAATGCTTTAACTTCGGCTTAAAAGTTTCATTTCTTTATTACATTCATCACTTTTGGCTTTTCCATTTTTCTATATCACCATGTCTTTTGGTTGAAGGACTTGGAATTAACTGAGCCCCAATTGTTATGGCCTTGCTTTTACTTGGCTTAACGCGGGGCAGGTTGAGCTCCCACGAATGAACGGGGACGCAGGAAGTTCCGTGACGGGAAGGGGCCTTGATTCGTACCTGGACCGAACCGTTCTAAGTTTTTTTCGATGTTGAGGAGTCGGCCGGTCCACTTGGGCCACTCCTAATTATCCTACTACTATATATTTGTTTTTTCATGTTTTAGGTTTTCAATTGTTTTCATGTTTCTGTACAGGACAACTGTCAATGTCTTGATTTTTCTCTTCTAGGGATGTATCTAAAGGTTGGTGTGCTTTGGCTGTAGCTGGGACGAGGTGGTGACCTTCTTACAAGGGTTGAGTTGTGCTCTGGTTAGAGCTTGTTCCCAAGAGAGTATTTATACCCGACCTTTTCTTCCCCGCACCCCTCGCTTCACTACAACTCCCCATTCCTTGCTACAGTCGCTTTCTTTCCTGCATTTCTCCTTTTTCCAGCCATCTCCCTTCCACAAACCCTGTTGTCCTCCTTCTGAATTAGCCCCAAACCCTCCTTGTTGATTTCGACAGTCCACAGCCTTCTAGCCGCCCCATATCCGTTGTCATCTTCGTTCCAACCGTCCACCCTCAACGCCCTTGCTGTCTCAGCCCTCTGCCGTCGCTACCGCAGCCCGCCACACCTCCCCTTGCTATTTTCCTGCTGTCCAACCTGCCCCAAACAACAAACTGTCACTGTTTGGACTGCCATCCCTTGCTGCCATGTTGTTCCAGCCAACCATAATCACTGTCGCTCCTCATCCACAGCCCGAAAACCTCTTCCCTACCTTGCAGCCACTTCGCCAAGCCCCCTAATTGCACCACCATCAGCCGGGATCCGCACTAACTTGAGTTTGTGTGCCTATGTGCTTGTGTTTAACTGTAACCGCCTATTTGCTTTATGTAATAATATTTATTTTTCCTAACGTGATTTTGGTGAAGGTTAACTCCAATATCACGAGTTTTTTATACTTATTCTACCTTTCATTCTTTAATCCTTATGCTTTTTTACGTGCATATTTCTTTCACAAGGAAATGCTGTGGCATTACTTCAATGAGTTTAACCTTCATATTCCTTGTGAAATTTTATCTAGAACTATTGTAGAAGAGGATTCAAAGAAGATTTACAAAGAGTATATGTTTTTTGAGATAATTTGTGACAGAGAGCTATAAAAAATATTAGTATAATGATTGTAATTATAATTTGAAAACATGTAATTAAAAAATAAAGATTTTAGCCTTTTACTTCACAAAATAAATTGAAAAGGTTCTTCGTGAATATTATTTTAATTTGTTGTAATTATAATAATACTAAATAACAAAATAATACTGCTTGGTTGGATTTCAAATGTGAGTGAATTCAATGATAACAATTATTGATTGAAGGGGCAGAAAACCCTAGATGTAAATGTTGTTGGGATGTTATGCTTGAGATTTGATTGATTTTCAACCAAAATCATACTGCGGAAAAAACACACTAATTCGAGTGATCCAGAACAATAAATTGAGCAGAAGTAGACAACAAGGAAATCCAAAAAAAAAAAGGCACACCAAGATTTAATGTGGAAATTCATGAGAATGGAAAAAAACCACGGTGTCACTTCACAACAAAAATTTCACTGTAAAAGGAGAATAATACAAAATTTTACCACACAGATCCACTCTTTACGGTACTGGAACTTAGAATAATTCACACTCCTTTCTCTCTTGATTTCACAAGAGAAAACACTCGCTGAAATCCACCCTCTTCATCTGGTCCGTCACTTGCACGCCTCCTTGCTGCACCTCCCAAGCTACTTGATCTCGCTAGTCCCTCTGCCCTAGTATGTACTCGAGCTTTTCTTCACTTCTATCACCAATCCTTGTCGCTGCTTGCTAAACCGACTCGCTCCTCCCACTAATCTGAGTCCGCCGCCCTTATACTCTACTCACCCGATCCAAAACAATGCCTAACAGCTCTGTTTATTTACTTATATGTCTACTTTTTATGTTTTAATTTATGTTGTATACAAAAAAGAGAAGAAAATTTGTGATCTATTGTTATTTTTATGTTGTTGTTTCCATTGCCATCAACGAGATGGAGGCTCTAAAGGTATTATTTTAAAATAATCTAAAATTTCGGGTGAATCATTTGAAATTTTAAAATAATTTGAAAATTAGAGCTCTTAAAATGTAGACTTGTAAGATTTTAAAAGTATTTAAAATTTTGGGCTTTTAATATTTAGGCTCTTTAGGCTTGAAATTATTTTAAAATTCGAGCTTTGAAATCTTTAAGCTCTTAAGGTTTTAAAATTTTAAAATCTTTGACTTTTAAAATATAAACTTTCAAGATTTAAAATGCTTAAATTTGGATTTTAGAATTTAAAGATCATGAATTTGAAGATATTTTAAAAATTAAGCTCTTTAAACTCAGGCCCCTAGAGTTTAAAAAGCAATTCAAAAACTAACTTTTTTTGGACTTGGGCTCCTCGAGGGCGATGAATAATTCAAGTGTGGAGCTTCTGAAATTAATCTCCCCCCCCCACCACTAGATTCACAAAACTTTTGGTAACGAATAGAAGACGGTTCATTTTTAAAAGCCTAAAATCATAATACTTTTGAAATATTTTAAGCTTAAAAATTTTGTGGTTATCTCCAAATTCAAATGAGATATTTTGAAATGAGAGTCCACTCTTAAAACTTAGATGAATACTTTTTGAGATACTTTTGAGCTATATTTGCATTAAGGTGTTTATATAAGTAAATTATGCACGTTTTCAAAATCTTGCATATGCTTCTTGTTGTAAATTTTTATTAAATTGTATAAAATATGGCTTAATATTTATGCAAGTATGTAAAGCTTATTAAACTCCTTAAGCTATTTGAATATATGAAAGCTATATGCCAGTGTGTGCTACAACCAAAATATTAAATGTTTAAATATGAGGTTCGAGAATGTTGCGTGGGCTAAGCAGGTCGTTGTATTTATAGGATAAGGTTGTAAGTCTCGCTCAACTAGTTTGATACTCCACCTTGTAAGGACGGGAGTTGACGAATCTTGTAATTTCAAAATAAATGTCTAAATCTAAAATAAGAATTTACAAGTCCAAATCACCTCACTTGTCCGATCCTTCTACATACAAGGATAGGAGTTGATAGGATTTATATTTTGAAAAACTTAAACTATAATTCAGTCATTAAAAGCTAAAAGCAAATTTCCTCTGGTTGGGTCAAGAATTTATGGATCTTTTGGAAGACACAACTCATGGTTGCTGACAAGAATTTTTCTCTCAGGTTGGGTCAATTACCTCCTCTGACTAAGTAAATCAGGACCATGATGACCCAAGATGACAGAATCATGGGATCTTGATCAGTTTTCGTCTTCATTCCCCCATCATTTGCTTTAAGCTTCAAGTGATGAGTTCTACAACTTAAATCATGTGTCTGATGTTATTATATGTTCAATTTTTAATCTTTAATGACTAGTTTTAATCTAAAGTGCTCTCCCGTTACTGGGAGAGACAATTAACCACAAGGGCTTGCGCCTATGGGAAACCTTGAACCGCATATCAAAAAGCCCTCGTGAAATGAGGGTAAAACCTCTGAGTAGTGTATTATCTATAATTCAATCCGTCTTCTAAAAATTTGACCCTCCAAATCTCTCCCTCAACAAACAAAATAAAATAAATGCATAAATTTATCCTGAGGAGCAGTCGTGAATATTCAGAACCCACAACACCAAATTTATCACTATCAACAAACAATTGTGTATGGTAGATGAGATTTATTTTTAGTTCTAAGTGATAGAATTTTGCATGAATATTATGAAATTTATAGCTTGAAATATTGATTTATTTTTTAGTTTGAAGTGATAACCTTTTTCTTAAATTTTTAGATATTTGTAGCTTGAAATATTGATTTTATAAACGAACCTCTTCGTTTGAAATTTGCAATCATCATAGTCATTATGAGGGATTATTTGATTATTCATATTTAAAATTTAATGAACATTTATTACTTGAAGTATGTATTCCTGACAATGCACAAAATCTTTTATAAGCGGAGTTCTACTTAAATTTATCCTCTATAGAGACATTTACCTTAAGTCTACAAGCTTCTATTGAATGAAGCAATCCATGACTTTTGATAAGAATTCTTTTGTCAGGTTGGATCTAACATCTCCTCTTATTAAGTCAACCAAAGACCATGACAACTTAGGACAACAAAACTATAGGATCTTGATGAGGTTCATCTCCATTTCCCCACCGTCTGCTAAGCTCACAGTGATATTTTCATGCTTTCAATACTTGAATCTTTTATTACTATATATTAAATCAAAATACTTAGTGCCTAATGACTGACGTTGATTGAAAGTGCTCGTGCTCTCCCATTTTTCGAGATGGATAATTAACCGTGGTACTTGCACCCATGAGAAACCTCAAACCTTAGATCTTAAAAGTCCTTGTAAATTTTGGGTGAAATCTTTAGGAATTGTATTATCTACTTATCTCATTTACTCTCTGAAATTTAACCCGAAACTCACGTAGAACTCTCACTCATTCTTATTTAATTTTCAATCATTTCAAGGGAGGCTGGGCATCGAAGTTTTGGAGACCACAACCAAATAAACTAGTTTGAATTGAAATTGTCATGGAAAGTTCAGATTTTGTTAAACTCATTTATGGTGTAGGTTAGCACTTATGAGACTTCAAAAAATTTAGTTCAACACAAAATTTCAAACATAATATGTATGCTAAAAGGTTTCTCCTTTCTTTCTATAATAACTAAATGTATAGTTATTATGATTATTTGCTTGGCGCATACAAATCAGGTCAACATGTTTTTTTCCCCGAATTTATGCTAACCCAATATGACTCTGAATTTTGTTAGGTTGAGTTTGAGTTTTAATTGTGTTAGACTCTGGTTGAAGTTTTCAAACTGATTAATAAATGGGTCGGCTTTGGGTCGACTATTTAGATTGGATCATGTTTAGGTTTACCCAGACTCAACCTCTTAACATGAATTAATATCCCTATTCTCAATGTCAACAGTAAAGATAATCCTTTTGACTGCCAAATGCTCTAAAATGGTCTAGTAGCTTTGAATTTGGGCACTAGAAAATTATTGAAGGAAGTCACACGAACTCGTCGAGGAAGGATATGCTTCTTACAGGCAGCTTGGGAAACAACCTCAATGTGACATTTTTGGGTGACACACACCATATAGACAAATAACTAGCTCTTTAGCAAACGATATAGATTCTAATCAGTGGGATTATTTGTGGATGGGAGTCATTAGGAGAAAGTAAGAATTAGAGCAAATAAAAGATGGAAAGACAATGAAAGACAAACTATATTCAGTGTTGACCCTCGAGTGTTATTTAAAAACCTGAGCAGTTGGCTTGATGCAATTTGTGCATGATTAGATCCCTCAACTATAAGATCAGCATGTTGACTCAAATAGATGAGAATGTTTCTTGGAATGGGAGATGTGCATCCCACACCCATTAACTTTTGGGATCATTTTGTTTTTTTTTTAATATTTAGATCTGAAATATGTTTGATTGTGATAGTTGTTTTTAAAAGCATTCGAAATACATAAATATTAATTTTGATTATTTTGAAAAGCTCAGTTGATTTTCTTTTTTAGAACGAAAAAAAAAAATGCTCCAGCAAACATATTTTAAAAAATAAAAACAAAAACAAAATGATCCCAAACGAGAAATTTTTGTTTTCAATACTTTTATTGTCGTGCTATTAAACCACTAGGATTTAGCTAGTAGATTATACTCCATGATCGGGCATGATGTACCCAAAATATGATCCAAATCAAATTTAATCCAAGTAATTCATAATTTTGTAAATTCAACCAGGTTAAATGCACATCTCTTAACTCATTGCACCATGAAAGTTTCCCAAACCTTATCATAAGTTTCATTCTTCAGCACTCGAATGTGTAGCATATTAGTCATAAAACAAAATGAAAAATCTCAAGATGCCTGATTCAAGCGTCCACCTTACCCCAAAAAAAATGTCACATTGTTCAGCCTGACCTGTATCTGTTGTAATTATAGCTCTCTTATTTGCAAAAATACACATGCTTTTCTTCATCCATAGGGAAAGCTAACAGCATATAAATCCCACGTTTATTGCAGGTATAGCCAACACCGTATTCATTATTGGCCTGGCATGTTTCTTGATGCTTCTTTTTCCTGCTTCAAGCCCTACTTTGTACAACGATAGCATAGAGAACTGCAGTTGTTGGCAGGGTTACTGTAGCTGGCGTTGAATATTGCTGGAGAAATGTGAGAATGAGTGCCCATCCTTTTCATCTAATGTTTGTGTTTTAGGCTAACTAGTTAGTAAACCTCTTTGCTCGGGTCTTCGTTTAGAAAACTATTCTTATTAGAGAAATATAATTCCTTTTTTTTTTTTTTTTTTTTTGGGCTGCTGTGCAGGGAAGGTGGAAATTTGAGTGAAATAAATAGAAAAAGGAAACTTGAATAAATGACTTCAGATTCATAATCAATCAATAAATTATTTACATTTTATTTCATTTACTTCATTTTTTTGTTTGATGCAAACGTAGACTTTTGATTAGATTAGCTGGAAATATTTGTTATAAAATAGCATAGGGAAATTTACGTACATACTGCACAATTCTCATGTAATTACATACCAAACACCTAAACATTTATATGTACGTGCATAGCACTCAGATCTTTAACATAAGATCATAAGTATCTCCATTGTTATCCTTTTAAAAATAAAATATATATGTTCATACATAAATTTATGATATGCACCAAGTTTGTCAATAGCATAAAGAGTAAAATGCCACAATAGTGTCATCACTTACATTGGAGTTTTTTTAGCCCAGAGCTTATAAAAATGCCAAAATGGCTCTTGATTATTTCAAGATTGAGCTCCAGTAGTCCTCCATGATGACTATTATTTTCGTACTTTTGTAAACTCTGGGACTCAAACGGCCCTACGTAAACATCAATTTTTTTATGTTTGACATGTAAATACATAAGAATTGTGTGGTTTTTATGTAAGTTTTCCAGTTCACACAAATTGATTATTCCTTGGCATAATATGTGCTCGAGAAGATGCAGGGTCTGAGGGCACCTGAGGAACTCCTCTGTAATCCTAATCTCTGAAAAATTGTTTTAGATTCTCATAATAACTCATGGTCACAAATAAAGTATAGACTATCTTTCGTAGAACAAATCTGTATATAATATTTTGTCAATATACAAGTTATTGTCTTATAATAAAGAGCTATATTTTATATTGAATATTGAATTTTTTTTTTATCTATTAATATTTTTTAATATAAATTTATACTCATAGTTCGGGATTTATTTATTTTTTTAATTATTTCTTATTTGTCTTATTCTTATTTCCTATTCGAAAAAGGAGAGCTTTAAATGTGCATCGTATAATTCTTATGTATTTATAAGTTAAATATCTTAATTTTTATACATGCATGCATGCATGCATAATGTTGTATGCAAATGTGTTTCATTCAAAAAAAGAAAATTATATTATTGGTATTTTTTTTTGTGATTTAAAATTTTAGTCTAATATAAATAGATTTCAAAATTAAAAGGTTAGAATTATAAATACATTATAGTTATATATTATGTATGTAAAACGCAAAAATGTAAATACAAAGCCTAAAATTTATTGTTGAAAGCCGATATATTTTGGGCTAGCCTTGTAGCAGTCATTTGGTTAAGTTTTATGATTATTGCTAATTTTAATGATGCTTTTTAGGAGAACATGGCTTATTTGTTTGCATGTAGATAGGAAATATATATATTCAAAAAGATAATGCCTTGCTCACATCATTTTTTTCAATAATAATGATAATATGCAAGATATGAAAATGCGGTTGCATCCTATTGCATTATGTGTTGATGGCAAATTTTAAGCAATTTTTTAAAGGGAAATAAATCTATATTTGAGAGCACTTAGAGGTTTTTATAGCTTAAAAATAAATATTAATATATAAATTTTATAAATCAATCACCCTCTCTCGTCCAATTTTCAAATTCTCAGTCAATTATCAAAATTCATGGTAAAATCCCGACGCGGACTTTTCTTCTTTATCAAATTATCAATAATTTGATAGTGGCGCATGTAAATATATTAGTTTAGTAGTTCAAAAAATTAATTTGTAAATATCAATGTTTCATGTGCCTGTATGATATTATTTGTTAGTTTTAATTGCATCAAATCAAATGATTATTATAATTTTTTTTTTAAAAATGAAAGGATGAATCAAAATATGGATCAAAGTTTCTCAGGATGAAAGTTTCAGAATCATTTAAATGAATACAACTCATATTTATCATCATCTTGAAATAAAATTAACTCATCTGCACTCAAACCTTCTTCCCTTTTTTTTTGAACATATTAATTTCCTAGTCGGAAGCAAGTAGAGCACTAAAATTAAAAAAATATATATATCAGCACATCTAATTCCATCCCAGTCACTATAAACTACAATCATAGTTTATACATATTAATCATATATATTCATCATAGATTAAAGCCTCCATACATACATACACATATATGTTCAGGAATGGTTGGAGGCTATTATACAAGTTTGAACCAGTCCTCATGTGCCTAAGAATTCGAGTACCATGTCCTACACTCTGGGGATTCGAACCCCATACCAGAGGGGAATTACAACTGACAAACAGATGCCCGACCAATTGATCTGAGTATGCGGTGGAGAATATTATAGAACACCAGTACGTACAGGGTTTATTGCGGTGAAGAGTAGTATTTTCTTCTTCGACCCAGGAAGACTAACTATGGTTTGGTGTCTTCTGCTTTATTAGGCATGAATGGTTTAGCATTAAACTCAGGAAGGGGATGGGAGTTAGGTTTGGCCAACCTTTGCTTCATAAGCTGGAAGAGGAGAGCCTGATTCTCCTGGTTTAGCAGCTGGGCTTTCTTCCTCAACCTCTCGTTTTCCTTAATTATACAGTAGTTCTGCAGGTACAGCTTCGAGTTAAGCCTCTCCATGAATGCTGCTCTTTTATTAATCTTCCTTCCCTCTATATATTTCCTTCTTGCAACTAATAAACCTGCTTCTGATCAGATAGAGATAGATAGAGAGAGAGTTAACAGGGGGATTTCTTAATAGTTGAAGGAAGAGAAATCACCTTCTTTGGCTTAGGGTTTGCTTCAGGCTTCTGCGAAGGAAGCAACAAAGAAATTAACTAAGTTGATCCATCGAAGAAGAAATGAGAGGTTATTATATATAGAAAAGCAAAGAGAAGAACGAACATGCATGTGTTGTGGCTTTGTGAAGTTCGTCGTCCGGACGTATGGACAACGGTGTAGATTGCACCATGATGTCACTGTACAAGGCATGAAATTTGCTCGGTTGTATGAAAGATGGTAGCGGCCAACCCATATAAAATTTTGCATATATTTTTATATCACCTTATATAATATAAGTCAATATGATGTAATGTACTATAAATTTTAGGCGGGATATATCAATATAAATATAGTTTAGAGTTTACAACAACTACAACAAGCTTTTATCCCGCTAAGTGAGGTTAGCTACATGAATTCTTTTTCTCCATTGCATACTATTGAATGTCACATTTTCATTTAGTTCCAATTGTTAGGTATGACTCATATACCATAAATGGAACAGATGTTGGAGCGGAGTGGAGCCCACGAGCGGAGTGGAGCAGAAGGATCTGCCCAATCGGGGGAGTTTTAGATTTCATTATATGGGTTAGGGGTGTGGGGTGGTTTGGTCAGGGGTAATTTAAGTAATTGCATATTGTACTATAGGGTTATATACATGTCATGTTTGTAACCCTAGGTGAGATTGTAAATCTTGTATCATGTACTCTTTTCTGAATATTGAAAAAGAAGATGTTGCTCTGCTCCTGAGGATGTAGACATCTTTGCCGAACCTCATAGATCTATGTGTGTTCTTCTGAATTTGTGTTGATTCCTATTTTTATTCGCCCTAATCTTTTAATAAGTGGTATAAAAGCAAGATTCTTGGGCAAGGAGGAAAAATTTCAGCGGCACTGGAACAAAGAAGATTTTGGCTGAGGAATTCGGGGGCTAGGGCCTTCGATTCGGCATAGAGGAGTTCAGCGAAGAAGGGTTCGCGACAGATCAGACCAGGCAACGACGTCGGCGGATTCTGGACGGATCGACTTTTCACTGCAAGAAGAAGATTTCAGAGAGGGGCAAGGAAGTCACGATCGTGATCGGTTCGGTGCGGAGGGCTGCTGGGCGAACGGACCAGGAAAGAGGAGAGTTCGGCGTGTTCCTAAAGCGAGAAAGGAAGGTTCACGGGAGGTGCGAAAAGGATTGCAGGTGATTTCACATAGAGGGAATTCCTTTGCGGAGCTTCAGTGTGCAAAAGGAAGGTTCAGCATAAGAGGGAATTCCTTTGCACGCTGGTCCGATTTGTTTCCTTACTAGGAGAAAGCGGAGGAGGAATAATCAGACTATTCTTAGATTTCCTTTTACTGCTGTGGAGATTAGAAGCCAGATTCGTTGATTGTTGCTTTCCCTTCTTGGTCTGTGCGGAAGATCAGTTTCCTTTGCCTGAGATGGAGCTTTTCTGAGAAGGAAAGCTCTCTGGAAGGAAAAAAAAAGAAGCTTTTCTAGAAAGCGAAAGCGGAGCTTTTCTGAGATGGCTAGCAGTGTTTTCTGGAAGGAAAAAAGGAGTTTTTCTGGAAAGCAAAAATGAAGCTTTTCTGAGAAGGAAAGCAAAGATTTTCTGGAAGGAAAAAATGAGCTTTTTTGGAAGGCGGAGGCGGAGCTTGTCGGGAAGGAAAGAGGAGCTTTCTTGGAAGTTCAAGGAAAAAGATTTTTGAGATAGTTTAATTAAGAAAAATTTAATTAAGGGAAATTCATTTTTCTGTGAAACTTAATTAAGGGAATTTTGATTAAGAGATTATTTAAAAAGATTTGTGGCAGGATCAAAGTGAGTACAATTTCTGGCTCAAGCAATTTGGAAATTCAATAGAGGAATTTGCAGAGGAGTTCGTTGCAGGATCAATTTCAGATGACAATTTCTAGTATAAAATTCGAGGTGGTGAAATTCAATAGAACTGGTAACTTCGGATTGTGGCAAATAAGAGTGAAAATTTTTTTAGCTCAACAAGGAATCTTGAAAGCTTTGCAGACAGCAAAATCAGATGATATAGAGGATGAAGATTGGGAATAATTACAATAACGAGTGACAGCAACCATATGCCTATGTCTAGCCGATGAAGTTTTGTATCACGTGATGAGTCTGAAATCTCCAGGGGAGGTATGAAAGAAATTGGAAACTCAGTTTATGTCCAAATATCTGACGAATAAATTATATCTGAAGCAAAAGTTGTATGGGTTGAAGATGCAAGAAGACTCTGATCTGGCACAGCACGTGAATGACTTAAGAATGACTTTAATCAAATAATCACGAATTCATCAAGGCTTGATGTAAGTACCGAGGATGATGATTGAGCAATGATTCTGTTGTGTTCATTGCTTTCTTCCTATGAACACATGGTGAGTAATCTGAAATATGAGAAAGAAACTATCAAAATTGATGAGATTATTGCAACATTGCTGGTTCATAATCAGCAAAAGCAAAATGCAGGGAAAAGCTCTTATGGAGACAGTTTATATGTTCAGGGTAATCAGGATCAAGGAAGGAAGGATGAGAAGGAGAGCTCTGAAAGCCGAAATTCCAAAGGCAAAAAGACTTTTCATTGCTACAAGTGCAAGGAGTCAGGTCATATGAAGAGAGATTGTCCAAAGCTTAAGAAGCTTACTGGGGAGAAATGTGATGTATCATCCAAGTCTGTAAATGTTGTGCAGAGTGACAATTCAGATTGCAGTGATGATGATATGCTTTCAGTTTCATCAACTTAGTTCATGGAAGCATGGATTCTTGATTCAGGATGCTATTATCACATAACACCTAACAGGAAGTTGTTTACTTCATACAGGATAACTAATTCTGGTTCAATATATTTATGTGATGATAAATGTTGCAATATTGTTGGTATTGGGGAAGTCAGAATTAAGTTGTATGATGATACTGTTAGAACATTATGTGAGGTCAGACATATTCCGAATTTGAAGAATAATTTAATTTCCTTGGGCACTTTACATAGAAATTGTTTTATTCTTAAGGCAGGTGAGGATAGGGAAACCATCAGATTTGTTAAAGGTGCGCTGATTGTGATGAAAGAAAAGTTAACCGCAAGTAATATCTGTAAACTGTTAGGGAGTACAGTTGTAGGTGAAGTTCACTCTGTTGGATCATACGATGAAAATGCAACATATATTGACCAAGCCAGGTATTATCAACAAGTTCTTGCATTGCTTGAACTTGTTGAATGTTTGCAATTGTTAGACGACATGGTGGCCCAATCCACATTGGTGCATAATAAACTCCATGATATATTTCTTCTAAGGAGCTGAATATTCGCCAAGGTGGAGATTTGTTAGGTATGACTCATATACTATAAATGGGACAAATGTTGGAGTGGAGCGGAGCCCACAAGCGGAGTGGAGTGGAATGATTTGTTTAATCGGGAAAGTTTCATTATGTGGGTTGGGGGTGCGGGGGCAACATCCTGCGATTTTGTACAAGGGTAATTTAGGTAATTACATCTTGTACTATAGGGTTATATATATATATATATATATATATTAGGTGAGCTGAATCTTGTATTTTACCCTATGTGAGATTTTGAATCTTGTATTCTGTACACTTTTCTGAATATTAAAAAGGAAGTTATCGCTCTGCTCTCGAGGAAGTGGCATCTTTGCTGAACCTCGAATTCTCTGTGTGTTCTTCTGGATTTATGTCGATTCCTATTTTTCTTCGCACTAATTTCTCAACACCAATCGATCGAGATCATTTTTTATATAATATGCATAAATCTTTTTAAGTTTACCTCTGCCCTTCTTAACATAAGTTGGATCTAAAATATATACTCACCTAACTGGATGATCACATGGTCGACATTTAATGTGACCAAACCATCAAAGACGACTCTCACTAATCTTATGGGCCACTGAAGCTACACCAACTCCATCAGGGATCTATTCATTTCATTTTTTTGTCGCTCGCTAAGTGCCAAGCCACTCATCCACCTAAGCATTCTCATCACAACAATACTTAAAAGTTGTTTAATGCTTCTCTTTTAACAGCCAACATTCTCTACCATAGAGCGTTGCAGGTCTCACCATCATCTTATAAAATTTTCCTTACAGTTTAAGAGGTACTTTTCTATCACACAACAGGCCCGATGCATTCCTCCACTTCAACCAACCAATTTGAATTCAATTATTAACATCCTCATCTAAATCACCATCACTCTGAACTCTTTAATCACTCCTTGTTTCAAAAGGAAATACTATTTTGGGCCGTTAAAATGTAAAATTTTAAGTTTAGGAGATTAAAATATCATATTTAAAAATTTGGATGGTTGATAGGAAAAAGCCATTAATCAAATAAGCGTCTGTGAATAAGGGCGATAGGAGAGGTTAAAAAAAAAAAAGGCGAAACTTAAGTCAAATTCCCGGTTTCCCGGTCTATTTGCGGAATAATTATGCTGGGCTCGACTTGCTCAATATTCGCAATGATTGGGCTTTTTAGGAAGCCCACTTTAGCCGTCATCATTTGGCCTATGAACATCGATGGCGTTTTGTTTGGTATCGTTGGAATGCAAATAATACTCTGACACCTCCCCCCACCCCCACCCTATTTTACTATTTACGTATTTACCAACATTTATTTTTAGGGGCATTACATGCATACCACCCAATTCTTACGTATTCACAACTCTAATGCCTAAACTTTAACTTTGCTTTTACATTTATACCACCTAATTTAAACTTTAAAAGCAAATTTAAGGTGTTAAATATGTAAATACATAAAAATTGTGTGCCATCTACGTAAATGCCCGTAATGCATAAAAATTAAAATTTAGATATTAGATATGTAAATATATGAGACTTTGAGTGAAATGTACCTTCCTTGAATTTTCTCAAACTCGTTGAAGGCGCCCTTGAAAGATTTGGGGCAGGGTACAACGCAATTATGCCCCTGCTGTTCATGAGCCCAGATCTTTCAGTGGCCTCATTCAATGCTTCAAAGACCGTTAAAATGATTCCAGATTTTCTTTTTTCTTATGAATTACATATTGACTTAAATTTTGGTACTTTTACATAAATATCATGAAAATCTCGTTATTTAC